GCGGCTGCGCTGAGTAGGGCCAGGCCCGGATGCTTCGCCGTGAACAGGGCCTGGCGGGGTGTCGCCGCTGCCCTGAGCAGGGCCAGGTCCGGTTGCACTGCTGCAGAGTCCAAGACCTGAAGCGTATGTAAGGCGCTGAGCTCTATCTGTCGAGGCAGTACCACTGTGGCTACTAGGGCCTGCCTGGACGGCCTGGCTGCGGAGGGCAGCACCAGGACGAGCTTCCTGGCTCCGCGGAGAAACCTCAGAATGGTGGCCGACGGAGGCCTGAGACCTCGCCGAAGATGGCGGCAGAGGCATGGGTGCCTGCGGCGCGTCGGCCCCAGGAAGCTGAGGGCGCTCGGGAGATGCGGCAGCCAGTTTAGCCTGTTTGCCGCCAGGCCGCTTCCCAGAATACTTGCGCCTACGGCCCTTCTTCTGGGCCGAAAGCCCAGCGGGCAGGTCGGTGTCTTTTGAGGCCTGCTCCACCTCAGACTGGCTGCCTGAGTGGGAGCCTCCATGGCTAAAGCGTAAATCAGGGATGCGGTCACCCTGGACATACGAGCTGTGCTCCTCGAGCACGCGGGTCTCGGTATTAGGTGCCGGGTCTTCACCTGACAAAATGGCGACAGAACCCTGAGAACCCGCCGAGCTGCCTCTCAGGACACCGCCTGACAGAGGTGTACTAACCGAAGTTGTGAAGACCCAGGAAACAGGATCTTCATTGCCGGTCCCGGGGCTGTAGCCAGGAGCTAGGGCAGAGTCCTCATCCTTTGGCCCTCCAGGCACCTCGTCCTGGGGGTTTTTCTCATCATCACTAAAAGACTGCGAAGCCATTTTAGCGCCTTCACAGAGACAAAGACACGACAGCGTGGCCTGAACCTCGATCTGGGATCTGAGTGAAGCCGGAGCAGGTAGAGGGGGAGGATGGGTAATGGGTGGAGCCGGCTGAATCTCGGTCTCTGATTGGTGAGTTGGATGTCACGCGATATCTCTGATCTTCTCGAAGCCCACTCGGGCTCTAAAATGTACGCCACCCCCCCTCCCTTTCTCGGGCAGAGCTGGATTTCGCGCTCTGCCCACGTGCTGCCCCCCCACTTCCTGCGCAATCGGCTCCGCCATCGCCTCCGCCATCTATGCCCTGCCACGTGGTTACCCCGCTGCTCCGACCCTCCCCCATGGGTAGCGCAACTTTCTCTAGCCTCAAACCTGGTCTTTAAGAGTGTGTTTCGGGATAGGGACTTGGAGTGAGGGAATGTATATGAACAACTTGAGGCACCCAAAAAGAGCTTGTCAACCTCACTCTGGTGGCTCAATCTCAAGGGATTGCTTGAAAGATATACCATGCTGAAAAAAAAAAAAGATATACCATGCTGGCCAACATAATATATCCCCTAGTCCATGTGTGACCCGGTAAAGGAACTCTTTTGGAACTCCTCTGGGCATGTGAATGAGGTTTAAGGTGGGCAGAGGCCTGAAGGCAAGAAACGGGATGGTGTCCACACTGTCTGCACTGGTAATGTTCGGCACAGGATATGCTGCTTCGCTCAGGTCCTACATACGAGATACGGACTTAGAATTTTACAGTAAAATGCTTCTCCATGCCTTGTTCCCTGAGGCATAGGCTAGGGTTGCTTAGCATTAAAGGTGATTAAATTCATCAACGTTTGTAGCTGGCGCGATGGTGGCACAAGCCTACAATCCCAGCACTCGGGAAGCTGAGGCAGGAGGATCACTGTGAGTTCGAGACCAGCCTGGGCTACATAGTTCCAGGGCAGCCTCAACTACATAGTGAGACCCTGTCTCAAAAAAATAAAAAAATAAACAAACAAACAAACAACAAAAAAACATTTGTATGGGCTGCATAGGAAACTGACGAATGTACATTAATGTATTTTGGTCTCAATATAAATATGACGTGATGCACAGACTTAAAGACTCATTTTTAGTTATTGTTACAAAAAGGGCTGCCTTTTTGGTACACAAAGCTGAAAAACAAAAATAAGAAAACTATCGCCTGAATTCTCACATATCCATAGGTGAATACTGGAAATATGTTCAATTACATCTCAGGAATATGGTCATTCATACATATTTCATACATATTTTTTGAAAATGGAATTATTTGTGCATACCTATTACTTTAACTTGGTTTTTGATATATA